CCCCCCCCCGCCCAGCCGATGCCGGCTCGTGTGTCTCCTTCACAGCCGCCCGCTGGCCAATGGTGTCCCGCTGCCCCCCTTAGCCCCGCCCCCCAGCCAATGGCATCCACTGGCCCTCCCGACTCTTCGGGAGCCGCCCGCCCACCAACGGCATTTTCCGCCTTGCCCACCAGCCAACCGTGACCGTCCCACCAGCCCCGCCCACCCATCAATAGCCTCCTCCACCCAGCCGACTCGCCAAAGGCGTCCCGCCCACCTCTTTAACTCCCGCCCCCCGACCAATGGCATCGCGCGCCGTCCTCCGGCCCCACCCTCCAGCCAATGGCTTCCCCCGGCCCCTCTGGCGCGAGCCCCGTCCTGTCTGCGTGCCCTGCAAGATGGCGGCGGCAGAGCCGCCGCGACCCTGGAGCGCCGAGGAGCTGCGGAGCGAGGCGCTGCCCAAGAAAGACGTCATCAAGTTCCTGCAGGAGCACGCGGCGCAGGCGGTGGGGCCCGGGGGGTCACGTGGGCTGGGGGCTGGTCACGTGACTGTCCTGCCAGGCAGTGGGGGGTCACGTGACTGGGTGGTGCTGGGGGGCCACATGCCCCAGGCTCTGTTAGTCTGCACTGTTGTGGGGGTCTCTGAGGCTGCAATGGGCCCCATGGCACTATGACAGCCCAGGGGCTCTGCTGACCTGTCCCTCCCCCCCCTTGTCTCTAGTTCCTTGCAGAGCACAAGCTGCTGGGGCAAATCAAGAATGTGGCCAAGACAGCCAACAAGGACCAGCTGGTCGCGGCCTACAACCAGCTCTTTGAAACGCAGGTGAGCGCCTGGTGGCCAGGGCCGAGCCCCTGTCCACAAGCAGAGAGCAGGGCCAGGGTTCAGCCACCCCAGCATTCGAGGCTTCTTCCGAGGCTCGAGCAGGGTGGAAGAGAGTGTCGCTGTGGTACCTCAATCCATCTACAGCCCTGATGGGTGGAATCGGTTGTGCCCTGGGTGACCAATCCCTTCTCTGCAAGGTGAAGCTTCGAGGTTATTCAAAAATAATTCAAGGTTTTGAATGATTTTTGGTGTATTTCACTTACCTCCTTGTTGGAGCAGCACGTGTTGGTGCGTGAGGGCTGCACACCCCCAAGTGCCTGCAGAAAGGGATAGCGTAGGAGCGCTGTCGGGGTTCTCAGCTCTTGCAGGCAACGTGTCAATAGTTTGCACTATGGGGCTTCGGCCCCTCCGGTTACTTATGTCACAGCAGTGGCGGACTGCTGACTTCTTGGAGGAGAAACGGATCCCTGTGTAGCCAGTTCTTTAGTATAGAAGAGCTTTATAGTACCTCGTTTGTTGGCCTTCTGAAAGACGTCCCATCCTCCTGCTATAGCAAATAACGGTATATGCTTCCCTCGCAGCGCTTTAAAGGCACAGAGATTGCAGATCAAGCGACTGAAAAGGTAAAGAACGTCACGGTCGCTGAAGGCAAGGCCAAAGAAACGAAGCCTGAAGAAATTGTCGATGAGGTTTGTGTAGACAGTTCGCATTTCTTGGTTTCTGACCACTATTTGTTATTGGCACCAAACGTTTTGGCAGCCTAAGCAATAGAAAGTACAGACTGAAGGAGGAAGCGGGGCTTTGGGGTGCTGCTAATGCATTAAACAGTCTGAAGTATAACTGTAGCTCAGTCTGAAATTAAGATCAACAGACTAGTTCTTTGGAAATCTGCTGTTGCCTATAAAATACAGAAGTCTCCTGTTAAAATGAAGCTATTTGACAGCACATGTTAAGTAGCACTGCAATCTTATTAGTCCTATTCCAGCAGGAAACCATCTACCATGTAGCAGTGAGGTGAAAATCATTTCTGTTTTGAAGTCATCATTAACTGAGCTTGAGTACCTGCGAGGGTCAAATTCCCAGTGATTACCTTCGGCAGTGCTAAGAGTTATCTGAATACGTGCATGTTCCTGAAAAGAAATCAAATGTTTCTGAAGAGAAATCAAATGCCTTTGCTTTTCCTCCAGATGTTGCTGAGGCAAAGTTTTGGGGGGTTTTTTGCTGGCTGCCGTGTGTGTGTGCGCGTGTGTCAGTCTCTTGAAGGCTGTTTTCTGATTTTAAAAAATCCAGTCTTGACAGTGACTCAGCTTTTAAACCAACCTCCTTGCGTGTTTTGAGTAAATAGCCTTGTACTGATCTCATTCCAGAGACTTCAGCATTGGCACAGTCTGCGCTAAATCCTTTCTTTCCATAAGCACACCAAAGCACTGTGCAGACTGCATTCATTTATGAGCATCTGCAGGTGCCATTCAGCGCTGGATCTGTGTGCAACTCACTGAGGGGCTTGCACTCAGTTACTAGCAGTTGGTCAAGCTTGTCCAGGCAGTGAACATTTTTTCTATCTTAATTTAGGGCCCACCAAAGTACACAAAGTCCGTCCTGAAAAAGGGGGATAAAACCAACTTTCCAAAAAAAGGAGATGTCGTTCATTGCTGGTATACGGGGAAATTACAGGATGGCACCGTCTTCGATACCAACATTCAAACAAGTAAGAACCCAGGGATCACAAGCTTTTGTACAGTCAGAGGGTTTGAACAGCAGCACATGGAAGAAATTAGGTAGACCACCAGTCACCAAAATATCTGGAACAATTTATGCTTAAAAGTTTGACTGGTTGGGGCCGTGAGAAATGCCCCTTTCCCCCTATTTCTTGTTCAGACAGGCTGAGGAGATCTTGCTCTTGATTCATGGGATCTGCCCCTTCAGGAGAAAGCAGCAGGGCTCCTTCAGGTCTCTCACTTGAGTAAAGCAGTCCCTCCTGCCTCTTGCCAGACCGTGAGTTTGGCATTCTTCAAGCCATGGGTAACATGATGTCTGGATTTAGTCAGCTCTATGACCCTGCAGCAGGGCAGAGAGCAAGGCTTATCATTCAGAAAGCTGTTTTGCCTTCTTGGCTTTGAGCAGCTTTTTCACTGCCCCACATGGTTCAGGGTCTGATACGTCACTATTAAATGTTGAGGCTGTGTCAGGGGTTAGGCATAAGAGAGGGACAGGGCTGTGTGGGAAATTGTGCCAGAACCCTGCGACTTCCAGCAGTGCTTGTAGCATTGTCAAAAGAAACAGTGAGGCTGTAATTGCCGAACGATGCACAATTCACCTTAGCTTGCTTAACAGTCAGCATTACTGCTCCAGACACTGAAAATGAACATTTTAGGAACCAGCATGTTTTCAGTGCCACAGAAACATCCATCCTGTGCATGACATCAGTAAACGCAGCAGTATGGTTCACATAGTCCCAACATCGGTGCATCTTCCAGCATTTCAGTGAAACTAGCTGCTTGCATCAGTGCTGGATTTGCCCTATTTGTTGAATGATAAAATGACCAAGATGAAACATGGAGAGAGCTGTGAATTGTGTGCAAGCACCCTGGTGCTGTCTGTGTTTCTCTGCAGTATGACTTTAGCAGTGGGTCTCGTCAAATAGAACCGGCTGAATGGCGCAGTGTGTTTGACAGCGTAATGCTGAGACCAGGTCAATAAAATCAAACTCTCTTTCAGGCTCAAAGAAGAAAAAAGGAGCCAAACCTTTAAGCTTTAAAGTCGGTGTCGGAAAAGTCATCAGAGGCGTAAGTAGATCGCTAAGTGTCCTGCAGCATCTGTCAGTTTGACAGATCCTTCAGTCTGTGGGTTAGTCTCTGATGCAGCTGTTGTGATCTTCCCCAAAGAATCCAGAGCAGCTGCCCAAGCCCAAAGGTCTGCTGTCGGCTGTCTGCTGCATGTGTTTGCACAGATGCCCCCATCCATCTCCCCATAGTCAGCTCCTCCCCTTTGGCAGGCACAGGTATTGGACGGCAGGATTTTCAGGGAATGTGTAGTCCCGCTTGTTTTGTATGGTGCCTCGCATAGCAGATGTGATCCTTGACTGGGTTCCCAGCACAAACTGCAGCACTGGCTATACCTCAGAAACCTGACGTGTCAGGCAAAATAATCCCCCCCTCCCTGCACAGCCTCTTTGTCTCACTTCACTCCCTGGCCCTGCCAGATCCATAGGAAGTAGATGACTGTGGATCTCATCTCACTCATCCCAGTATCCTGGGAGTCTCTGGACTCTGGCTGCCAGTCCTGTTACCAGACAGAGGGTGTCCATTGGCATGGAGTTTTTGAGCTTCACTTCAGGCCCCAGAATATCCGGCTGTTTTTAACGAGCCCTTGAGTCTGGAACTCCTCCAGCATAAGCATGCAGCCCCAGGCTGCCAGAAGAGAGCTAGTGCAGGCAGAGGCTGCCTGAGACTGGGTAGCCAAGTGCTAGACAGGTTAAGCATTAGCTTGGGGATGACAGCCATGGACAAATGCACAGTTTCCCAGTTTAAAGGGCAGAGAGTCTTGCCAATCAGGACTGTGTGGCTGGGACATGCAGATAAGCCACCCTGTGATGAGTGACACAGAAGCACATTGTTTGTTCCTGAAGGAAGTGGGGTAAACTGTTGCAGTTCTGCTTCACCTATCGCAGGCTGGAGGTGGATGGATGAAATGGGGATGCTGGAGTTGGCCTTGCTGTGGTGAGGCCTCAGTGTAACTTTCAGCTGTGCAGGCCCTGAGAGGGTGGGCCAGGCCCTTAGCCTGTCTCCCTGTATACTGAGCCTCCAGAAAGCCTCAGGTTAGGGACAGGGTGGGTGCCCCCAAGGAGCTGTGAGCAGGCTGTCAGCCCTTGTAAGCACAGCTCCAACAACTACCCTGTCAGACCAGGGTTGAGTGGCTGTGGTGCACTTGCTGCATTGACCCCTCCTGGAGGGGTGGGAAGCCCAAAATGTCCCTGGCTTTCTGCCCAGCGCTGCTAGGAAATGCTTGGCCTCCTGGGACATGTTTAGGGCTGGATGTAATGCTTTCACGCTTGGGTTGTTGCCATGTGCCTTAAACAGCTCAGAGACACGACTGCCGCCTGTTCATTGTGAATGCTGATACGCTGCCACCAAGGCTTGGTACTAAGATAAAATTAGCCCCCTCACTTGAGCCCAGCTGGGAGGACTGCTCATCTCTGCCCCAGAACAAGTGCAGTCCAATGACAGCTTGCATGTCAGCTAACCTGGGGTAGGGCAGTGAGCAATGCTTCCACTTTCCAGTTTCTGGACCTTGGGACCCAGGGAACTTGGGAGTCCTTTGCCCTGCACAAATAGGGGCTCCCAGTCCTAATCCATGGGAGCAAATCAAAAGCCATCTGTTGGTTAGGTGTTGAACAACAGCTGTGTCCCCCCAGTGCAAAAGAAGGTAGAACAGGAGATGGGAAACACTGTTGCTTGGGACAAGCTGATGGATGCACTGGGGCTCAGTATTTCTACCACTGAAAATTGTGCAAATTGCTTCTTTATGGTGATTTTTCTCTTGCAGTGGGACGAAGCCCTCCTGACCATGAGTAAAGGGGAAAAGGCTCAGCTAGAAATCGAACCTGAATGGGCCTATGGCAAGAAGGGGCTGCCTGATGGCAAGTATCCTTTGAGTGATCGTGTTCCAGCTTTTGAAGACATGCAGGGTGTCTTAATGTCCCTTAGAGGAGGGAGAGACCACTGTCCAGTAGGTTGTGCAGGGTCACATGGCACTCTCATTGTAGATGAAACTCCTTAAGCCAGAAGCTGCAAATACCTTGTTTTCTAGTATATTAAGACACCCCCCTGCTCTTTTTGTTCCCCCCTCATGTCCAGAGACTGCTTTTATACCCTCACCTAAGAGGTGTGTATCTGCTGAGCAGCAAATACAAACGCTGGGATAAACTAGCTGCTTTGCTGTTAGACCAGCAGGGCAGTAAAACAAGCTGCTTGGGGAACCTCCTCCACTGGGGGTGTTCAGGCAGGGACTGGATGGGCATCTGTGTGGGATGGCTTAGTGTTTTGCATCTGACATCTGTGTGGGCAGTTGGCCTAGATGGCAGCTGATGTGGCAGTGGCTGCAAGAGGGTTAGGTTCCTAGCTGTGATCCTGTGGGGGCCTAGTGAGGCTGAGGAGTGGACTCTGCCCCTGCTCCATATGGCCTGGAGCTATACTGAGTTGAGGACCACCTGCTTTCAGTGGGTGTCTAGACTCCTTCCCCCACTCATAGTTGGCATGTTCCGTTTTCCTCTGCAACAAGCACGTGGATCTATCCGAAGAACAAGTGAGGCTAGGAAGTAAAGTCATATAATGGGAAGAGGACATGAGAGGAGAAGTCTTGGCTGCCACTGTCTTAAATAGCTTGTAGGGTAGAGGGAGTGGTGAAACCTTATCTCCTGCTGGACTGAGGCTGCAGGGAGCAGTAAATGGGAATCCCTCCATCTCATGGGTCTTTGCTTCGTCAACAACACATAGGGCCAGAGAGTCAAGCAGCTGTCCTTGCTTTTATTTGGCCTTTCCTTGGAGCATTGCAAACATAGCAGACAGATGAAATCTCAAAGCTTGTGCTGACTTTTCCTCTAGGAGGGAGAGGAAGAATTGGCAAGGGCAGAGCAGGGCTGGGAGGGAGGTCACATTTAGTCCAGCCTCATCCCAGCCAAGTGTCTGGAAGTTTTCAAGAGGAGGTTGGACAGAGATGTAGACTCCACAGCTTCTGGGCAGCCTGTTCTCATGCCTGACCATCCTCAGAGGTGTATGATGGTGGGGTGGAAATGAATGTTACCTGATATCTTTTGTGCCACCATAAGTTTTTTATCGTAGTATAGATGGTGAGCTATTAGTTGTCACTACCCCACCAGGCCATGGCAGAGGAAAATCAGTGGTGCAATAGGCAGAACAGACTGCTGCTCAAAGGTGCAGACAGTAGGGGAAGAGTAGAGCAGCCTGAGCTGCTCGCTGTCCAGCCCACCCTCCCCCTCAGCAGGTGCCCTGGGGGCATGAGGGATCTTGCAGTGCTTGGACCACCTGCCCACTTCCTCTGCTTGCAGAGAGGCACCCAGGGAATCTCAGTGCCTCTCCACACGTGGGAAGTTGGGGTTCTCATTCCCTGTGATCTCAAGAGTGAGTCAGGCTGAGTGAGGAAGAGCCCTATTCCCTGATCCTGGAGGATGGCTGTGGCTGAGCAGGGAAAGCAGGAAAACCACATCACTCCTTGTCCAGTACTGTCAATGGCTGGGATAAGTGGAGACTTAGTTGGCCCAGTGAAGTGGATCAGTTCTCCCATGATGCATTGTGGCATGGCTGATCCACTTTATTGGGCAATTCCTGTTTCTAGCCCTATGACCCCAGGGAAAAGCTCATCTCCATCCAGCCACCTGCATCAATACACTTCCAAACAGCAGGTAGGGGGTCTGCAGAGGTACCTGCTGTTTTGAGCAGTGCCACTAAATGAGCCCTAAGTGTTTCACACGATTGCCACCAGGTTGCAGATGTAACCAATTTATGTTGAACAGTGGGGGGAGGGAGAGCTTGGTCCTTGCCAGAGGCCACTGACACGGCGCATTTTTGAAAATGGGCATGCTTGAAAAAGATCATCAGCTAGATCGGGGTGGGCAAAATGCAGCATGCGGGCCAAGCAATTTTATCAGGCCCTCTAAAAAATTTAGAAAATTAATATTTATCTGCCTCTGGCTGCCTGTCGACAGCTTGCCAAAACTCAGTAAGCAGCCATCCACCCAAAATAATTGCCCATCCCTGAGCTAGATCGTAGCAGCTTGTACCTCGCAGACACTGCAAACCTCTCCTTAACTCAAGCAACAGGATCCCGCCAAACGCAAAGCTCTTCTTTGAAGTTGAGCTGGTGGATATCGACTGATGCAAAGACTGATGCCTTCCTTTGGCTGCGGTGACCTCATCTGTGCAGGAGTTGGCTGACAGGGGCGGATCTGCCCTGGCAACTTCAGGAGCTAGTGACAGCTGTGGCCTTGCCTATTGAAATCAGCCGGTTTGTCCCAACGGCTGTTCAGTAAACACCACTAAAGAAAACTCCATTGCCCCGTGCACGTGATTGAGCTGATTTTTCTTGTGCTGTGATGCTACAGTAGCTCCCCTGGAAAAGCTGCTGCTGTGGAAGAAGCAAATGCTGCATAAATCCAATCTAAAGCATCTGCTCCAACCAGAGGGGTAGAGGAAGGGAACAGCTCTCACTGTCAGCATTTTCCCTCCTCAAACCCACATGGGGGGGCTGTTTCTGCCCATCTTTGGAGCCCCAGCTCTGCTCTAGCTTAGAGGATGGCAAACTGCAGGTGAACACATCACTGCATCTGCTGTAGCAGTTGGATGTCTCCAGAACAGGGCTGGGCTGTGCTGTAGCATAGCTTTCTGATTGCAGCCCTGCTGCAAGGATTTCTTTTTTCATGGCTGAACCAGACTGCAAAACAGGAGATGGAGATGCAGTGACAGAGAGCAAGCAATCTCCAGCTAAGAACCCAGGAGTTGCTCGGGGTCTAGCTGAGCCTGGTGGAGGTGGGGAATGGCACTAGAATTTCATCAGGTCAGGAAAGAGATGCAAAGGGGGCAGCTCTTGGAGCCTAAAAGCAGAGGTAAGCAGAGATGCGGTTGGCCCAGCAGAGTGGATCAGCTGTCTCATAATATACTAAAGGGGTGTTAAGAGATGCAGGGGCGTGCAGTCCTGGAGCATAAAAGTTTGAGTTGTTTGCTACCACTTCATCCACCAGCCCCTGACACGGGTTCTCCAAATGAGCAGTTGTCCAGCAGTTTCAGTACTGCCAGTTCCGTCTTAGAGGAGGTTTAAAGCAGTTGTGACCTCCCTAGAGCCTTGTAGACTGATTTGTTTCCACTGAACACAGCTGGATGGTAGGTAAAGGTCTACTGCAGCTGCCTCTTCTGTATAACAGTTCTGTTCAAGGGCTTGAGCCAAACCCTGGGTAACAGGCTCCAGCCCCTTTGTACAACTGCCAGCAAGTGAAGGATGTCCAGTTCCACTTGCAAAAGGAAATGCTTACTGTCCATATCCGAGTTCCCATTTATAAACCCGATGGTTTGCCTGCCTCTTTTTATAGCGCTTGAAGCCCCTCAGGGCAGGGGCCAGCTCACACTCGTACCTTGTATGTTTTACCCACAGACATGTTCTAGGAAGACAGCTGCAGCACAGTAGAGGTGCTTGAACAAGTGGGGAAACCCTTCCCTGTTTCTGATTGTGCTCTGGGAGGTTTATAGGCCTGAGCCATTCAGAAAGGGACCCATGTGGTGGTCTGTTGACCCCCTAGTGCCCCAATGGGTTTTTCAGCCCAGCTTTGTTCCTTATGTCAGTGTGCCCCAGAGAGGGTAACAGGTGACCAAACTGCTGGTTGGAAGGGGATGTTTCCACCTGACGTACAGTGACTGGCACTGATGTAGTGAGTTATCACAGACGTTAAACAGCTGCCTGAAGGATGGGCACAGTTTTGTTGAACAGGTTGCATCATTTTCTGGCTTGTGTTCAGTTTAAAGGTGGCGTAGCCTTCACATGGTCACTGAGCGCAACAAAAAGCTATTAGTCATTAGGGATGGTGGGGCAACCGTATGTCTATTTTTCAAGCACCATAACATGGATACAGCTGGGCTAGTTCCTTCTCATTGAGCCTGGCAAGCTACATGGGTTTGAGTGTTTAGCTGTTTGGACCCTGGGAGCCTTAACCACTACCACTGCCTAAGGGAAGGACATTTGGATCCCATGTGCCAGATAAGTCCAGGAAGCAGAGCAGCCCAGCTGCTTCCCTTTGTGCCCCTGTCATTGCAGGCAGCACTGAAGCAGTATGCTCAGCCCTCTGCTCTAGGATACCTTCTCCCAAGCAGAAGACAGCTGGTTAGCTGAAACAGCACAAAAAGGCACATGCTGTAGGTGGTAACTGCTCTGTAGCGTAGAGCAGAGGTGGTTCCCCAACCCTACTGTCAGTCCTCCCAGTCTCAGAGACCAGCTTTCATAGGAAATCCTGTAAAGGAACGTGGGATCCAGCACAGTCAGCAAGCAGCATATATATAGTCTGTCTGAACACCACCAACACTAAGCAAATGCAGAGCCCTGCCACAGCTGTCTGTGCACACCCAACTTCCAAAGTAGCAGTCATCTGCTCCTTCAGTGCTGGTGTTTGAACACTACAGGTTCACCTTTGCTGCCTCAATCTCGGTGCTTCTGTGATCTTAAGTCAGCTAACGCTCATTTTTTAACTGCTTTAAGCCAAAGGTTGCGAATAAAAGTTACCTGGACAATAGCTGCATGGCTAATGGCATGAGTATGATCTGGGGTTTTTATTCTTGTGGGGGTTTAACTGCACAATGCTTGCTGACTTGTTACCGTCAACAGTGTTGCTGGGCTAGTGAAGAAAACCCATACAGCTTGGAGATGAATTTGCGGACAATTCCTTGGTTTTATTACAAAAAGAATGATCATTTTGATCAAAATAAAGAGTCTGCTCACAACATACATGAAAATTGGAAATACAAAAAACTCACCCCAAAACACGATAGTTCTGGTGCCTTTCTTTAAAAAAAAAAAAGGCTGCAACGTCACTCTGTGCTCTATTTATAGTATGACCCCCAGCCCCCCATTAAAATATAAAATGCATGTGACAGCTTGCAAACACTGTCAGTAGAGTTGTGTGATCATGACAATGCAGACAGACACGGGTCTGGGCTCCATCACCGAGTTACAGGAAAAACCTTCACAGGCAAAGCAGATGAGATCAATTTTTGGTCAGGGAGAAAAACAGGAAAGGGGTGGCCTTGCTTACATTTGGGGCCCCTCCAGCCCCTGCCTAGCTCTGGTGTGCCCTCATCTGCTTAAAACAGGTGGTCATCTGAAGGAGATGATACCTACAGAACCAACACAAGCAAAAACTGAAACCAAAACCAAGTTCTCCAGGTCATTTCTCCATAAGTTAACGTGGGAAATAAAACTGTGTTTATGGTAAACCAGCTGTGTACAGAGAGCTCAATTACCATTTACCAACACGCACGTCTTGCTTCACGTACACCCTGTGAACACCGGTTTGTTTCACATGCAAAGACTGAAGGGCAGGTCTGACAACAGTTCTCTTCACATCCCAAATTTAAAAAAATATATTTTTATAGTCCATCTTTGCTGCAGTTCCACAGTGAACTCCAGTTGCTCTTCTAATCAGGTGGGAGGGGGGGGATAATATTGTCCGTAAGTCCATGCGTTCTGGTAGTTGTACTGGGAAAACAAGACAACATGGGGTGAGTCAGAAGCACAGGATATTTGGCGAGTTGCTATATTAACATTCAACAACTCCAGAATGAACAGCTGTGAACACAACAGCAACCGTTTCTCTCACGTGACCATCGTGGGTCCCACTGAACATGCCCTTGTATTTGTGCATGCACAAAACCGGAGTCTTCTGAATGGCTGTGTCTATGGGGCTGTACCTTCAAGCTGCTTACCGTGTCTCTGAAGCAGCTTAAAGGACAGTTATCCTGGCCCTCCCTCAGTCCCCTCCCAGAGCCTGTCAAGTACAGAAGGCGTGCTGGCAGGGGACCTGTGCTATGGTTACTGGGGGGGGGTCAGGACAATCTTAATCAAAGATCTCAGGCATATCCCTAGTGGCCCCGAAGCCAAGGGCAGAAGGTCTGATGACATCAGTGGGTTGCTCTGCAATACTGCCATGTGGGTCTCATGGCATGCTCCTGAAGCAGACCAAAGTGGCTGCCATTCACGTACCATCTAGGAGAGGATGAAGACACCTTCCAGACTCCTAGTTTCCTTGAAATAAAGGAACCCCCTGGAGTAGAAGCCTCTCCCCCAGGATGCCAATACTGCCCACTTTATGACCACTCATGTTTGCAGCCAACAGGATGAGAAGGTCCCCCAAGGGAGGGGAGCGAGAGAAGGGAAGCTATGGGTCCCGATTGCTACCCCCCTTCCAGTGCTGTAGCAGGTGGAACAGAGCAGGGCACTCTGAAGGGTACATGCTGATACAGCACTTCTGATGGTCCAAGGATGACTACACCTCAGACTAATACATCCTTGGGAATTCCTTGTACCTAAAGCCATGCAACGGCCCTGAGCACTATCACTGCTTCGCCATGGAGCAGGCAGTAATTGAATTGCCCACAGATACTTACGGAGTAGTCTTAAGACACAAAATCATCCACCTTGAGCTCATCCTGGGTCTGGTGCAGAAGCCTGGTATCTCCTCCACAAACTGAGCTTCTTCTGAAACCAGGAAGGAATTCTACCCTGTGGTCAGACTGGGACAGGCCATGGGGGTTTTGCCTTCCTCTGTAGCATGGGCCATGGCTTGAGTGCATTTTAACAACCCTTGCAGCAGCAGACACTAACAGCCCTTGTCCCCCTGCTTTACCTGTGGCCAGTAAGGGTGCTTTTGGTGGCTGGCAACGTGCCTTGTAATTATGCAGATGAGCCTGCCTCGTGCAAGATCCCGCACTAGATGACCTCTGGAAGTCCCTTCCAGCTCTGATTCCTACGATTCTAAGACAACCAAGGAGCCTCAGATGTTACGGGCATAAGAATATTCATACCTCGTCTGCTGTACTTGTTACCGCCTCTCCTCAGGTGCTGCTGTGGCTGGAAGAGCAGAAGCCGTGTGCCGTAGCATTTGGCCTTCACTTAACAGAATGACTCAGTCATCCAGTGGGGAGGTCTCCACTCCCACCACTGATGGCTCATTCAGAGGCAAGGAGAATCCTGTTGCTGCTCTGCTCCCAGACTTGGGAGATCTACCTGACCCAGCATCAGCAATGCCTCTAGAGGGCACAATCTCCTCTTCCTAGAAAAAGGAAGAGACTCTGCTCCTGGAAGTATACAAAGGACACTGCCTCCAATCCCCACAGGACACCAGTGCATTAGGATATGGCTGGATTGCCTGATATTGCCTATCCCAGTAAGGAGAACCACTTGTTCAATCTATGGTCTCACCAAGCAACTCAAGAAAGACGCAATTCCTCGCTCACATGAGGTAAGCAGTCATGTCCTGTGGATGGGGAAGAGATTTCCTCTAGACACATGACACCGTCAACACTGAAGTACATGCCCTGACCGAGTGTTGTGTCGCCCAAGTCATTTGACAAGTCCAGAATCCTTCAACCCCATGAGTGGTTATGCTGCCGTCACTGATTCTATTGCTCAAGTCACTGCTGGCTGTTGCTGCAGTTTCACTGGTGCCAGGATAGTAGAAAGCTCTTCGTCGCCAGCCATGGATGCAATGCAGGGCTTAACGAATCTTCTCCTCAGCAAGGCTTCGTGTGTCCTCTACACTCAGCCAACAGCTTGGTGTCCGTGTTCAGGACAGTCTTCCAGTAAATGAGTTCAGAGCCACACGTGCTGCTGGGGTGAAGCTCTCTGAACCAAGTCTCTTTGCAGCACCTGGATGTTTTTGGTGATGCTTCCAAAGGTCTGACTCTATTACAGGCTGTACAGGAAGACACTCTTCTGCCACACTTGGTGGGGTCTGCAACCTAGTAATATGCCAAGACTGTCATCGACATCCCCAATATCCAAGAGTTTCAGGTGTGTCCTACAATTGGCCAGCAGTCTAAGAACGCTGGCACACCAAAAATTTGGTGCATGACTTCCATGAAGACGGATAAGCCACCTGCTATCCATTAATAGGATTTGTCTAGTCCAAAACAGACAGGGCTTGACACTCCAAGGCTAAGTCTGCATTAGGTGGGTGGCTGATCTGCCCTGTATACTGGGGGTGGGATCTGACCATCCAGAACCCGCTCCAGTGGACTGTGGTTTGTACATGGTGTCCTCGAGTGGGCAGAACACATCCCAAGAGTTCTGAAGGGTGTAGCCAGAGCTAAGAAAAACTAACTGCTGACATCCTTGCTGGGCTCTGTCAGATGGAGCCAGCCAGCACGAGAACTGAGGGATGCTGCAGCTTTCCCACCCTTTATGCCTTATGGAAGCAAGAGATAGCACAGGGCAGTGTGCAGCCCCAGATACGGCTATTCCAAAGACTTCAATCTTGTGCACGTGGAGGCCTACAGTGGATCTGTACCAAAGCGCACTTGTACTAATAACCATACAAAGCAAGTCAAATCACTTCTTAAGTGAAGCACTGGGGCAATTTAACACACAAACAGGACAAGCTTGGCATCCCAGAGGTGACTTTTGTACATTCAGGGTGCATTGCAGAGTAAAAGTTCCAGCATGAAAAGAAATGATTTCCCTCCACCCTTCCTGCACTTGCAGTTGTGTTTAAATGTTAGCAGACCTGTGTAAGAAGGACCAGTTTGCACAAGCGCCAACCACTGTAGTCTGTCGCATGTATTCAGTCCTCTGCAAAGGAACACGAGACAAAGGCAAGATGGGGACTAAACAGACTGAGAAAGGACAGGTCCATCGGTGGGTATTAAACATGATAAGTAAGGGTGCACCTCAACATGAGGAATTCTAAGGCCTCTGAGACCTGGAAGATGAAGGAGAAGAGGCAGATCTATCTTAGCATCCACACTTTAGACGCTGGGCTCAATAGACCTGTGGTTTGACCCAGCATGGCATTTCTTATGTTCACAAAGGGCAGAGAGAAAACATGAGAGAACTAATATTTTATCTGACATGGCCAACAAGTACCTAGATGTAGAAAAAGAAATTACTTGGAATAAAACAGACCTTGTATATTTGAAATGGATGAACAAAGGAAACGGACCGTGTCACACTCACCTGGTACCAAGCACTGTAATTGTATGCCATCTGATTGGCCTGCATGTCTCCATCCATCATCTGCGTAGAAGCCATAGTCGCATCATCTGTATGTGCTTTCTTCTCATCTGGTTCCTCTGATCTGAAAAATTAAATATAAAGACATTGTTCAACAGCAACAAAACAAATAAAATGGGTCTGCAGCGTCTCCCACACCCCACTGCAGCAGGGGCCAACCTTTTCGGCAGGCGTGCCACGAATTAGCTCCACACGCTCTGATAGCTAGATCCCCTTCCCCTGCCTGAGCAGTTGCTCTGCTTTCTGCTCCCTGCCCTGTGCTCCCTGCCTGATCGGCTCCTCTGTTTTCTGCTCCCTGCCTGACTGCTGCTCTTTTTCCTGCTGCTATACTCCCCATTTCTTCCTGGATCTGTGACAAGGCACACACACAGGTTGCCCATGCCACTTGTGGCATGCATGCCACAGCTTGTCCACCCCTGCCTTAATGTCCCACTTTATAAGGCTACAGGCTGAAATTTCAAGCTTGAATTTCTGACACGCCTTTTATTTCAAGCAGTCAAAGACAAGCTTTCACTTTAAG